TCATTTACAAAGGATTTTTATTCAAAAAGACATCACCATATATATTAATTACCTCGCCGATGTCTCTTTCGATCTCATTCTGCGCATCAATGATCTCCACTATGTCGGGCCTTTTCTGTCTATCTTCCTCCACACAGTTCAGTGCCATCTGAGTACATATTTTTACTTGGTGGCAATATGCTTCTAGTGATGAACTACTCCATGCTGTCTGCAACCTGTTCCTCCAGTTCGTTTGTACCTGAAAAATAAACTGTCAGCATGGGTTGATTCTATCTGGATGTAAATGTGTAATGTTTGTGTTAGACAGGCAGGTTAGTGGTATTGGGCTTAGGCCTTTAGCAGTCAGCCTCTGGTCCTCGTGGGCGCCGGCCCTGTTGGCGTGCGGATTGATTAAGGTCCGGTCAACGGTCATCCTACGGTACGCATTGATTCTATGAGTCTAACCATAGGATGAACGCATATATATATAATCTCCCTCCATCAATCAATCAATTCAGTTGCAGCATATTTCCATGCTTTTAGTTTGGTTTATTTACTGAATTGATACTGTTAATAACAAAAAAAAACAAATATCATTTCTCACCAGCGGAGTGTTCGACTAGACTAAAAACACTATTTATGCTGGGTTTTAATGTTTATGCTGGTTTTTTTTAGAGAAAAACACTACTCCGGCTGAAAAAAAGGTAGCCAGCCAGCCAAATCTGGCCAGCCGAACAGACCGCAGATCAATAAAACCATCGTTTTGCATGTATGCATAGTTGGAGTAGCCCTCAGGTCCTGTCACTATCTTTATCATCATGACACCTAAGCTGTATATGTCAAACCGTTTTGAAATTTCACCTCTCGATGTATTCTGGTGGCTGGTATCCACTGCACTTGCATCACATACAAATGAGATTAGTAATTCACAAGTCACTTTCGATGTATTAGAAATAAGATATGTCCAAATCAGGCATTCAACTTACAGTGTTCCTACAGGACTTCGTGTGGTCTGAGCTAGTTCTTTACCAAAGATCCTGGACAAACCAAAAAAATCTGCAATCTTTGGCACCATGTTCTTATCTAGCAATATATTTTCAGGTTTTAGGTCCAAGTGGTAAAGAGGTTCCGCCAGCTCCTCATGAATATGTTTCAAACCTTCACAAGTCCCCTTAATAATTTTGTACCTAGTGTGCCAATCAAATCCATGAAACTCATCTGTGGTAGCAAACGAGGTGATTATGAATCGATCAATCAATTGCTAATATACAGAAAGGCTTTCTTCAAAGACGTGGTAAAATGAGCATAACCATACCACAAAGATGGTTTTCCAGGCTCCAACTGTGCAAATACTCGAAGCAGAGGGCTCTGTATGTCTTTTCAGCGAGCACCGTCTTTCCATTGTGCTTTGTAGGTGTTTTCCTTGTTTCATAGCAGTAGCCAAGAATCTGTACAATATTTTGATGCTTAAGCATCTTGAGGTTACAAAACTCGTTTGCAAACTGCTGATCATCAAGTTGTAGATTTTCTTTAAGCATCTTCACAGCAACATCCTCCCATTTTAGTCACTCCCTGTTAAAGATGTTCCGTTAGTACCCAATAACGCAAATTGACCTTTTCTAACTACAACTTATAACCACATCAGAATGTGGCTTGGAGCCTCGGGCAGCTGGGCACACATCAAGATGAAACATGTTGTCACGGTTACCAACATAAAAATCAATGTGTCAATCTTGGTAACAACACTATAAAACTCACTGCTAAGACTGACCCAAGAATTTAGAATGAGTAAACAGATGTGGTGAGAGAGAGAGATAGAAATGAATTGGAAAAATAAAAAGATGTATTGGGAGGGGAGAAAGTTGTATTAGGAAGTGAGAAGGTCAACTATGTGTTAAGTTGAAATATTTTGGGATGGAGGAAGGATATTGAAAAGGAAAAACAACAGCACTGAGCATAACTAGCATGTCTCAACTCAACTCTAAGACAGATGCAACAGACCAACAGTGGTAGCTTATAGAATATTTTATCAAGTAAGGAGAGAGAATGATAAGTGGCAAAATAGTCGATGCAAACTACATCTTCGGTGCAATCGTAAACCCCATTGAAGAAACATAATTAGAAGTTTTCACAAAAAAATTGAAACTACGCACATAAATAGTGCATCTATTGATGAACACTACCACAAGATTTGAGATTCAAACTTTATCAAGAAAAATTCATACAAAAATAACAAATTTCAGATGCATATGCACTAGAAGACAAAAATTCTAGGAATTTGTTTTCTAATGCATATGCACTTCAAATTTGCTATTTTTGTTTGAATTTTTATTTGAACCTAAATTTTGTGGTAATATTCATCGATAAATGCACTATGGATGTGCACAGTTTCAAAAATTTTGAAAATTTTTGATTATGTTTTTCAATGGGGTTTCATGATTGAATGAACATGTGGTTTTGCACTTAATATTTTGCCATGATAATGTTAGCTCTTCATGGAGAGCTTAACTCACATACTTTTCTATGATTCATGTGTCTATGCTTACATGTTATACTAGCATGTTAGTATATTTTATTTTTATATTTTTAGAAGTTTATATGAGCTAACAAGTTGACTCTATTTTCGATCTATGTATTTTTATGGGAATTTTATTTACAGAGCCATTCAACTAACATTCTCTTTGCCCTCTCTACCGGTAATCGAAGTCGTTTTGGACAGCGACATGGCCTCCAAAGCATAACTCTGACTTCTTATTTTTATAAAAATATTTATTAGAAAGTGATATATGTATATTTTTTATGAAAGTACTTTTCAAGATTTTCACATTTCCAAACTCAACAACTGAAACGTTATTCAAGATTTATATTCCCATTGTTTGACCCAAACCTTGTCCAAAACAACTTAAATTACCAGTATTGAGGGATTATATCTTTGGTGTCTCCAATAGACTCTTACTCCAACAATTTATCATAATCTTAGGTGCACCGGGTGAGATGAGACTCGAAGAATATCCCTCCCACCATTGCATGAGACTAGAGGTAAAACAGCAGCTTGTGAAAAACTTGAAAGGAGAGGCTAGATGCAGCTTGAAAACTTGAAAGGAGAGACTAGAGACGAAAGTTGAATGAGCCCCTCGTAACATTTATTTCTAGATCCACCAATAGGCTATAGGCCAGTGGATATGCATATCGGCTGGCTAGTTCCCATGACACCTACTCGCTCCAGTTTTCTAAATGATATTGTTTTGAGGTTGTTTTAAGTCAAATATTTTAAACTTTAACTATAAATAAATTATTTTGGGTTGAATTTAAAAATATGAAAGTGATGTAAGTAAATTTATTTCGAAATGTAGTTTTATAAAAATATATATTGACTATATTTTATAAATATTTTATAGCAAAAAGTAACGGTCAAAGTTGTTTTTTGGAGACCGTGTCGCTGTTCAAAACGACATCCTTTAGAAAACTGGAGGTAGTATAAATTTACGTGCGAGGTACCTACAAAGTTTGACCAATAAAATAATCGTTGACAACATTTTACATGGTAGTAGTTTAATTCAGAAACAACTAGGGTAACAACGATACGAGGAAACAAGGAGATCCATGATCTAAGTTAATGAAAACTTGTATTCTCTGTAGAGCACTGAAGTACTTAATAAACAAAGACATGCTCAGTATATTATAAAGCTGAGTAGCATTTTTCACAAACCGATCTTAGCTCAGTTGGTAGAGCGGAGGACTGTAGTTGGTGCAGATGAATCCTTAGGTCGCTGGTTCGAATCCGGCAGGTCGGATATTTTAGTCCCCCCCTTTTTTCCATCAGCTGACGCAGCATATTTTTTCACAAGATTTTTTTAACCCTTACACTTCATCAGCTGACGCAGCATATTTTTCACAAGGCTAGTAATATTCACGAGAAATTGTTTAAATAATACAATAAAAAAGTTTGAACTTCTAATATCTACTCTTTTTTTTTTTGCTTCAGATCTTATAAGATTTATTTAATTACTCCAATGTAAAGAACACGTGATTAAGTTTGCTGTATCAACTACTTTTAAGAGCATTGTAGAATTCTATATTGTTTCATTGTATATTGTAAATAAATAAAATAAAATCATTGTTCAAACTTTTATAGGACGTTTGGTTTGAGGAATGAAGTTGTTCGTCATCTTCCCATTTCTCACTTTTCGTTTGATTTGCATAATGGAATAAGTTAATTCATGATTACCTCATTCTCATACGCTAATAATTAGTACGAGTATAATAAGCAGTGGAGTGATTGCACCAAATAAGAATAATGAACTAATGCTACACTATATCACTTGTTTCTCAAACCAAAAACCCCCCTAAATACGCTAGGGAGTGCATTTCACTAGTCACCAAAACAGTAACACATTTAGCAACCGCAGCCACTGTGATACATGAATGTTCTACCCATATTAAAATTGGTACATGAGCACATGACTTTTTAGTTCCATGACAATATGACATTGAGCTGCTAAATGAGCCCACCTGATTATATATAACAAAGTAATACTTAGACCATTTCCGTCAAAAAAAAAGGATTATTGCTTTAGTGTTGAATACTAAAAAATGCGGCTCTCTCTTCATGTAAACAGTGCTTTTTAAATGCTTTCATAATTCATAACCGAATGCTAAAAAAATTACGCAAGAGCAAGAAAGTGAACCCGAAATATATAATGGATTCTCATTGCTCATTTCCGACAACCAAACGAAGTATGTACAAGCACAACCACCCCAGCTTGAATGAAGGAACATCCCAGCAGATACGACAGCAGTTTCTTATCACGTATGCTCTCCGTTCGGACAATGTACGCAGAAAAGCTAAAACATCTTGTAATTTAAAACTGAGGGAGTACAATGCCTTCTTCTGCTTCCACTAGTCCTAACTCCTCTTCTTCTCTAATATCTACGGAAGCCAAACCATAGTTACAATGATACTGTTGGCTAGACTCACTCTACGGTTGGCTTCAGTCTTTCACTAGAATCCTACTGTTGACTCACGAAGCCGGGAAGAAGCGGTTGAGACTGAACGGCAGATTGTAGAACTCCACAGTCCGGCTGTCGCCGCGGAACGTCCGGAACCTCGCCCACCATGGCATCCCACGGTCCCTGTCTCTGTTCCTCTCCTGCAGGGTGTTTTCCAGCACCATCGAGACGATGAACCCGACGGTGGCCGGCGACGAGAAGACGGTGTTGATGAGGTCGTTGAACTGCATGTCACATGCACAAAAACGGTTAAGGTCTAGTTCAGACTTCAGAGATCAAAGTTTTCAGCTAAGCTGGGAGAAGGATCAGTGATCACATACCCATCCAGCTCTAGTGTGCGCCGGTTCACGGTGATAGCTCGTCGTGAACTGGTGGAAGTAGTTCGGGATGGAGATGCCAAGGTAGAGTGAGATGCCGAGGACGAAGAAGTTGCGCGTCGAGTTCATGTTTATGAACTGCATAAAGGAGAGCCCCACAGCACCTGACAACACCAAAACAAAGGGGTTGGTTTGGACTTTGGAGAGCTGAAATCTTTTTTTTTTTAAATAAAAAGGTAGGAGCTCTGCCGCTCAAGTAAGTACGTACCAACATAGCCAAACAACACGCAGTACATGGCAGCAAACAGTGTGAATGGAATCGAAGCGAACAATGCTCCGAATCGCCCAAAAAGATCATATAACATAACATGTGTTCAACAACAGAGAAAGTAAAGTTTGGTACAGTATCGTTTTATTTACTGTGCTGGAAATAATATTCTACCTAGGATGGAGAAGAAGATCATGAAAACAGCAGAAATCTGGATTACTCTTCTGCTGCCAATCCTTGTTGATCCTAGGAGACCGACGTTCTCCCTGAGTTGGGCAAAGTAAAGTAATATACACAAGAGCATGGCATTGGCATGACACTGGAAAATTGGTTCATGCAAACTTGGCGTGACAAAGAAGCAGAAACACTCACACAGAGACGGTAGAGCCGCTCACAGTACCAAATAACCCGTCGAACAGCAGCCCGATTCCCTGATTTTTCACATATTTACGTCACAAGAAAGAGGTGAAAATAAATAATAATCTTCTTCTCAACGGAGGAATTTCCAGCTAAATATTTTTTGTCATTGTTTCCTAGCTAGCACATGGCAAGAATTAACTAACCTGGCATCCAATGCCCCTGCTCAAGACAAATGGCGGTGGAGGCGTCGCGCTTGCCAAACGGGCAGCAGCCTGAAATGCTGCCGTAGACTGCAATGCTCAAAATATTTTTCAGACAAATCAGATCAGCATGATGTCAACTAACTGAACATTACATGGTACCATGGACAATGGAGTGTTATTATGTTAATTACCTCTATCAAGGACACCACCACAGCAGCCATCATACCAAATGAATGGTCTGCGCTGAAAGTCGGCAGACCCCACTGCAGCGGATATGGAAGCCTAATCCTGAGAAAATGTTCAGACAAGTACATAAATTCCATAAGTGTGAAATGATGAGATGAAAATATATAGAACAGTGGGAGGAGGCATCAGTCTACAGACCATGGTGCAGTTGTGATGAGATTGGCACGGTCAGTTCGGCAGTTGAGCTGAGTGAGCACCGGACTATGCTTGTATGCTCCACTGACAGTGAGGATTTGGGCATATAACCAAACCAGTGCTATGGAGATTAGCACTGAGAACCTCTCGAATATTGGGAAATGGCACATTTGTACATGCTTCAGATATTGTGAAAGTGCAACAAACAGGACGAGCATCGGAAGACCGATTTCCGCGCAGGTTGCAATCTGAGACATCAAATATATTATTCGAAAGGATAAGAGCAAATTGTCAGTGTTAACAACATGATGACTCAGCAAAGAAATAGTACTAGTAAGATCTTTTACCACTGGGAATCCTCTCTCAAAAAGGCCAATCCCTACTAGTGCAACAACTGGAACCATCCCAAGTGGGCTGAAGAACCTGCAACAGTGATATCAAAACAACATTTTAAGATTCCTATCGTCAGTCCGAAGGTTGCTGCCATATCCCATCACTTTTCCTGAAAGTGATGCCCACTTCTCAAATTGAGAACCCAAAGTAGATCATCAAAGGCCCAGTGCTAGTACAAATAACAGCGAATAACCTACTGATCGGTCAAATAGCCCCAATGTCAACAAATATAAAGCCAAAAGTTGCACATACAAAGGAACAGTGACTACTTCCCTATGACGACAGTATTAGTAGTATATGACAGGGACAGACGAGTATTTGAACATTAGATCACATGACACATCAACTGAATGAATGACTCGTCTGTACCTGCAGCATAACCCCCACAACTGGCTGTAGCCAAGCACTATCTGAATGCAGGAGGATATTATCTGGGCCCCTTGTATGGCTCTCATGGCTACTTTGAACCTCTGCAACAAGAGAAAACATGTGAGATGAATACTGATACACTAATTAGTTAGAAGAACAGTAAACATTGCATGCTTACTGTGTGGTCATCAGCAATTTGCATCAGCGAGGGATCACTGATTATTGATATGACTGGGATTACAAATGCATATGATCCACCAATAACCGTAGGCAGGCGAGTTCCAAACAGAGTTTGCAGCAGTGTATTTATGCCAGTCACAAACAGCACTGTCTGTACCACAATTGCCTTGTCATGCTGGAAGCAAACAAACGGACAAACATTCAGGATATATTCTATCACTGAAAAACAGTACATAAAGAGGTCATTATCCAAAAAGATGAATTCTGGACACATGCAAGTCATACACTAGTGTGAACACAACAGGAGATATATTAGTTTTAAACATAAAAGCTATCAGTTCTCTAACACTAAGTACTACCAGATATATATGTACTGAAGTGCATGTGAAATGAAAATAATAACACTACCAATACCAGTTATTACACATTTACACTGGACATGACGATTTCAAAGACAACTCTTTTTGCTTTCAAATGACATTGATAAACTAGAATCCAATCTAACCATTCAATTTTCAAATTCTGTTTGGAGATAAATACCATTACACCAATATGACACAAAACAATCAGATAGCGCATCATCTATTCACAGTGACAAAGTTGAACAATGAAAGGATTCTTACGGCATTTCCTCCCATGAGGGGAACCAGCAAGGTGGGGATCATCACTGCCGTCCCCAAGCAAAGGATGAAATGCTGGAAACCCAGCATAATACACCCTCCTGCGCCATCAAACAGATTACAGAGATTTAGTGCCATAAAGACATAACACAGCTAGATGAATGAATCATGCAAGCTTAGACACCTGAGTACTTACCCCAGGATGGGTTGGAGTCTATACAGTACTCCATTCCAGCCAGCTGATCCATGATGGGAGGGTGGGTAATCTCCTCTGGCTTCATGTTAGCCATCTCCATGGGAGACACCTCCTCTGCTATGTCCACGATGATCAACACCAACCAAAGCAGGAAAAGAAAACAGCTTCAGCATTTATTCCATAGGGAAGTTTAGTCAGGTAGGACAGCAGTAAAGTTGCAAGCTTTAGTGAGTTATGGCCCTAGAGCATCAGATGCCAGAGGAATTCATTCCTCAGAAAAAATAAAGACCCATTCTTTTCCCACAAAGCTATGCAAACTTTCAGATGCACAACAATCCGGAAGGGTTGCAAAACAATCCTAACCTTCCTCAAACATGAAACTGAAATTGCGAAAACATGTTAATGAATGATCAAGAACTTAATCAGGGTATACTATCCAGAGAGGACAATAAACCCTCAATGCTGATGAATTCACCTACACAAGAGACCCCAAAAACCAACAAAATCACAGCAGGAAATGCTCACCAAAAACCATCTCGATTCTTGAACACGCAAGAGAGCTGCATATCAATGTTCACCAAACCAGCATGCTGACGATACTACAAAATGCTTTGAGAAATAGGCAAAGCATCAAGGGAAAATTCCCCATTGAGAATGCTACTGAATGCTACAAAATGCTCTCAGATCCACAAGTGTGTCAAAGCAAGCCAGGAAGGTGCTGGATTTATAGGCCTTGGGGGCTGCAGTAACAGAAACTAATTCTTGCTCTCAAAATCAGTGAGAGAGAGAGAGAAGTATAGCAGTACATGCACTCTTTTCTTGTTTGCATGCACTTCATCTCATTGCTCTCCTCCCTCCCTCCCTCCCTCTCTCTCTCTCTCTCTCTCTCTCTCTCTCTCTCTCTCAGACTGAGTCTGTCCACAAGATGTGCCACTGCAAGTGGGCCCACACCCATATAATGTTAAGACTTAGAAGCTTTCTATCTCTAAGGTTGTTGGGCAGTGATGCACTAGCAAAGCAGTAGCTTTCTATGTTTCACTAAATTGTTTAATAGGGTAATAGTTGTAAGTATGTGCCGCTAAGAGTGGGGCCCATCTACTAATAACGTTTGCCTAATAATTTTATATCTATAACATTGTTTGTCAGTGATCCACAGACACAGACAAACAATCTTACAGATAGAAAGATGTTGCTTGGTTCTCAGTGTCTTATGAAACACAATCTTTAAGATACAAAGCTAGGTACTTTATAACTCAGACAATCTTAGAGATGAAATGTGCTATTTAATTATCATCGCTTTGCTATGGTAAACGATCTTAGGGATTGAAAACTAATACTTGTCACATTTAGATACCAACTTTTTATCTCTAAGATTATGAGGTACCTTAATGAAACCTTGCCTTGTGTGTGTGAGTGGAGAGGGAGGCGCATTGTAAGGTTTCTAAACTAATTTTTTATTCTTCCTAATATAAAGATGATTTCTATCTTTAAGATAGGTAGTTCCACGATAATGAATTATGTGCCTTTATGAGTGGGCCCATCTACTAGTAACAATCAAATACCAACTTTTCTATCTCTAAGATTTTCTAGGGGCATTGTAAGGGTGTCTCCTAATTTTTTATTCTTCTTAATTAATATAAAGATGCTTTCTATCTTTAAGATAGGTAGTTCCATGACAATGAATTATGTGCTTTTTTATGAGTGGGCCCATCTACTGGTAGCATTCAAATACTAGCTTTCTATCTCTAAGATTTTCTAGTTCTCTACTAGTAAAACTACAATACTATTAGGTGACAATGCAAGTAAGGCACATTTACTAGTAGCATTTATGAAATAGCTGTCTATCTGAGATTATTTGGCAATGTGATATCAATGAGTTGTGCCACTGAGTCCATCTACAAGTAAAGTTTCAAAATCATCTTTCTATCTCTATGATTATTCAGCAGTGAGGCAATGACAATCAGGCAACAACTTTCTATCTCTAAGATTGTTTGGCAGTATGATAACTATTAGTTATGTCCTACCACAAGTAGGGCCCATCTATTAGTAGTGCTATTCACATACCAGCTTTGTATCTCTTAGATTTGTGTTGGCACTAGTGACACAATAGCAACTAAGGAAAACTATTATATCTCTAAGATTGTTCCGCGGTGTGACAAAAGTGAGGGATGTGCCACAAATAGAAGCTAAAAGAATCACGAAGTTCTTAATTAATAAACAACAATCATTATAGCTTAAGAAACTACTAATTATGCAAGTAAGGAATCATGCATTATTCACCTCTTGGTGGTTCCATGTAGTGAGGGGAAGAAGTAGCGTCATCATCATCATCAATGTTGGTAGGAGTGATGTGGCAAAAACCAACAGGTACAACAGTAGGAGTTGAACCTGTGGCTTGTTTATGCTCACAACAACTGCATTGTGGATCTGGCATGTTTGACCACCAGCTTGTAATAAATAAGATGAGGCGATCAAGAAACCTTGCCATTGAGAAGGTTTATGAAACTTTTGAAGAGCAGTTGCTTGGGTTTGAAGCTGAAACAATAAAACAAATCTTTCAGGATCAATTCGAGACACTCCTTATTATCTTCTCAATATATAAGAAAGTGAATAGATCCAACTTCATTCCACAAAAGCCTTTTGCTGAATCTTAGAAAGTTACCAAATATGTGTCGATCTATCCCAGATTTGCAGGGCGAAACTTAGTAATTGTTGTTGTAGATCGGAATCTTCAAACACCCGCTGGTTGATGAACGAATGTAGGCCTAGATGGGAACGGGAATCGTGAAATAAGAGCAAGCGAAAGGAGTATGGGGGTACAAAATATCACTATTCGTCCTTCCCATCAAAGCCGCTTGAGGGCAGTATTTATAGGCTCCAACGGCCATTATAGAGGACAGTATTGCCCCCGTACCTTTTCCAAATTCACGGCATATTCCACAAGTCCAAGGGCAATCCAGTCATATAGTTACACCGTCCCCAGCTAACGCATGGTTGCATTCTTGAGTGGGGGGACCACCTAGACCAGACCATCCTCGCTTCTGACCGCCGGCTCCTTCCATCTCCTCTTTGCTCTTGGCCGAGGGAGGGACAAAGGAAGCGTCCTCGCCTTTGTCGTACCCCCCGCTTTCCACCAAGACGAAACCCGACGAGCTCCTGCAAATGACGATGACCAAGGTACACCTTAGTGAAAAGATACATGATCCCACGGAATGGCGAATAGAGGCGCGCCTATGATATAGAGAAAGTGTCGCTAAGTGCCTCAACACAAGAAGCTAAGGTACAAATGGGTCCTTGTAGGTTTACAACACCACAACATTTCTTGAAGTGATGGAGGTGGCATGGCCTTGGAACTCATGGCCAATAGCTTGTTTGCTTTGTGAGAAACATTGATGGATTGACACAATACAAGGATGATCTTCAATGCACAATATGTATCAAAAGGGAGATTATGGAGGGCAGGTGTGGCATCATAGGGAGAAGGGATGACACAACTTTACCACGGGTGGCATCCACACGCTATGTACAAAACAGGGCTACAACTACAGCTTTTTCCAAGCAAAATGTTGAATGACCCTCAACGTCGAGCTCTCGGTCGTTTGGTTTTTGTGTGATTCAAACTCTCAACTAGTTTGGTCAGGGTTTAGAATTTAGAGGGCGGCTTTTTCGTGTGGGCTTTTCACTGAAGAGCATAAGTTTATGTGAAGGCTGTCAGTGGCAGGATAGTCTGATGGATGCAATGATTAGTGGGTAGGGCTGCAATGCCACAATAGGCTTAGACTGTTTGTGGTGTGGAGGATTCTAGTTGGGTGGTGTCACTGCTAAGGCCGCTCCTTGAGCGTGATGGGAGAGGGTTGTGGAGATGGCAGGTTTCTAGCAGCGGGGAGGTATGAGTTGCATGACAGTGAGCTCATCGCAACAGGAAAAGGTAGTAGGCACCGTTGGATTAATATCATTTGGGCCAAACAAATGTGTCAACAACCCTCAAAAGACTCAAATCTAGATAGACATCCCCTTTCCAGAAGGGTGGCTCAGATATTAGGAATGAGTAGCACAAGAATGTAACAGGGTTGTGGCTAAGGTGGCACTTTGTTATGGTTGAGGAGATCAGGGCGTAAAGGGGCGAGCTTCTGGCAGTTGACTGGTAAGGAGAGTGGAGGGCTGACTAGGAAGAGGTCATGGTTGACCAAGACAAGGAACGAAAAAGAGAAATATATATAGTTTACAAGGGATACCCTATACAAGTATTCACTACTACACAATTGATTTTTAGTAATGGAGGCTTTTTTTTAGTAGAGTCGACTCTATCATCAAAACCTGCCTCTAAAAAGGGTTCCCAAGCCGGTCTGCCTATAAAAATCAAATTTTTGAGGAGAATGGATGTACAATCATCTCTAAAAATGCGTGCATCATATAGTAAAATTCATAACCTTTACCAATGAAGTTAGATGAAGAGAAACTTTATTAAAGTTGTATATGTTGAAGAGATCTACAACCTTGTAGTTGACAATTTTCTCATACGAAATCACTGAAATCTCACAAATTATGTTTGAAGTTCTCACATTTAAAATTCATTTTTTTTATTTTTCAAACGGCATCATATGGATAAATGATGAAAACCAAAGTAACAGATCTTGAAAAGATATAAAACATCGCAATTGAGAAACTTTTTGTTTGAAATAATCTGTGGTCCCAAAAATTAATTTGAAGTCCTCACATATTGGAATTCAAATTTTTTAAACGACCTCGGATAGAGAAACAACAAAAAAGAAAGTTGTATTGCAATATCTATAACTTCTCAATTGAAGCCTTTTTCATTTGAATTCGTTTGAGGTCTTCAAAAATTATTTCAAAATCCAATTAAGTAAATATAACGTATCTAGACTTTAGTCACAGGTGACTTTAGGGTGGAAGTGGTTGGGAGAGGTACGCGCAATGCTGGAAATTGTGATTTTGAGCCCCCACGGCAGCATGTATGCGTGTTTTGTGAGATATAATCACGTAACCATTTGACTTCTGTTGGGTTTCCCCACATTCAAAAAAAAAGTTTTTTTCCTACTTCTGATTTCTGAAATTTGATTTTTAGGGACGGTCCTGTCA